TAAGCTTTTCTTACATCTATCTCCGTGTCCTTCACGGGGCTCCAGAGTGGTTGAGGATGCTCCGGCTTTCTTGTAACAACTTCCATCAGGCAGCAAACCCAGTAGCAGATGAACATAAACACCTACGACAAGGTCAGCACAACGATTACTTTGAATACTGCAAGGTTTGCATGTCCGCAATGCTTCTGCGTCTGCCTTTGGGTAGCTGATGAGCAATTGTCTATTGTGTTGGAATCTGAATCGGCGCAATCAATACCACTCGCTGTTGTGTTGCAACGGTTTGGTCCTGCTCTACTGCTCAGACCTCCACGTCTTGCAGCCCGCCGCTCTGGTCAATGTAAAGGGAGGGCGGAGGCTGCCCTGTCACATCTGGAGGGCTGGTCGCAATCTGCATTTGGCCAAGGCAACTCTGATAGCGCAAGGCAGAGATGAGGATCACCGCGGCTGCTGTTTGAAGCGGATTCGTGCCGGTGACGACAAAGCCCTTCCCAACGTCAGCAATGCCATGGTATTTCTCAGAGAAGCGACCGTACACTTCCCAAAGGCACGTCTGAAACTCTGGTGAGTTGGGTTGAACGGCCCAACCAAAATGGCGGTTCAGGTAGTCGAGCTTGTTGTTAACCCACCATTGTGGCTTCTTCTGCCGATTGAAAACGTGATCGCGGAGAAATGCCTGGCTCAAGGCTGTCCATGAATACTCTGCCAGGTCTGCATGTCGCTCGCAGTAGTTCTGAAGACCAAGTTCGATGAGAGGGCGTGTCGCAAAAACAGCCTTGACTTGGCTCAGCTCCTCAAGGAGTTGTGCATTGTCGTTTTTCAGCAATGCCTGCATCTCTTTAAGGGACTCCACATGATCCGTAAGGGATTTCACATGACCGCCTGTGACTGCTTCCACCACGTTTATGGCTTTGCGAGCGGCTTCACGGTGCGCTTCTGGGATCTCATCCAAGAGTTTAGGAAACTTCGGCATACGTTGTCATACCGACACGCGGCTCGGGCAGAAAGGAACGCTGCGGCAACAAACGGTGCTCACACAATCTCAAAGCAGACCTCTTGCAACAGCACCCCAATGAACCACGCTCCCTGCAGTCCTTGTTTGGCATGTTGCAGTCGTTGTGGAGATCTCATTGCTGTAGATGCCGTTGTCCACTCCGTGCTGCAAAACCCCCAAAACCCTGAACCAAATTCTATAAGGAACCCCTTGCCTATTTAGGCAAATAATGCCACCTTAGAGATAATAGATGGGGTAATGGTTATTCCTAAAATTGTATTGATAATGGGGTAGTAGTAGTGATATATCGGTGAAGCGTAGGGGGGACCCTAGGAATGATCATCTAATGGGTTGGCGGTGGCATTATTAGCCTAAATAGGCAAGGTATACTCCAACTTTCTCCTAGGCTGGCTTACCTGGGCCTCTACAACAACCGTTCGGCAGCCAGACCCTCAACAACAAAATTCTGGTGGAATTGTTGTATACGTCATGCCGTCTGCAGGCCTTCCAACGACTCGGCGATTTTACTGTCTACGACCTTGGCTGCTGCATGGTGCTTTGATCTCATGCTCGCTTCTGATGGCTATTGAAGAAGTACAAAAAAGTGTGCAAGCCTACAACGAACACCTACCTCTGGAAAACATGTTTGTCTAAATCTTCGCGTGACACCAGTGCAGCAGCGCAGCATTGGCGCCCTCCGGAATGTAACTTGCATTCAGGTTCTTCTCGCCTCAATCTAATGCCGTTACTCAGCTGCTGCCACATACTGCTAGCATGCTGAAGCAGATGCAAAGGTTGCCTTCCTGCAGGCGCAAAGAATGAGCACCCAACTCATTCTTCGGTGGACACTGGCAGCCACGGTGTTTGCAGCATATGCAGCCTGCGGGGAGGGTACTCACTCTGCTCGACCCTGAAGACAAAGCAGGGACTGACCCTGGACCCTCACCTCAATCAGCCTCAATCCTGATCTTGACCGCAAGCCAAGGCCTTCGCCAGACTGAGGCCTGCTGAGGTCTTCAGCTGAGCGTCCTCAGGACAGGGGACCAGGAGGTCACAAGTGCGTAGCCTACGGGGCCTACGGCCCCTGAAGGGCGGTCATCTCACTGTTGATAGCTTCTTGTCGGCACAGAACGGTGCTGCGGAGAGCACTTCACCTTGCTGCTAGCGTTTCTTCTGCTGCTGCTGTTGCTCCGGCTGCGACAGCGGCGACTGGTATTATTGCAGCTGCCACTGGTTTCGCTTGTTACTGTTTCGGTTGCGACTGCCGTCGTGACTAGCTGTTTCTGGTCCTGTTGTCGAGAACGTCCAGGTTGCGGCTGTTGTCGTTGCTATTGCAGTTCGTGGTTCTGTCTTTGTCGCGCCGTCGCCGTCGCCGTGGCCGTGGCTGTCGTCATCGTCGTCGTGGTCGTGGTCGTCGTCGTCGCAGACGTCGTTGTTGATGTTGCTGGTTCTGCTGTTGTTGCGATGGTGGCAATGACGACGACAACGATGACGACGATGATGATGATGATGTTGATAATGATGATGCTGATGGTGCTGTTGATGGTGATGGTGATGGTGATGATGATGATGATAATGATGATGATGATGATGACGGTCCTGATGATGATGATGCTGATGCTGATGCTGATGCTGATCCTGATGATGATGATGATAATGGTGGTGGTGGTGGTGGTG